TCGTGTGTACAGATATGGCAAATGTATATAACGGCAGAAGCGGGGGAATAAAAGTATCCAGCTGTGTATCTTACCAATGCGTGTGAGAGTCGTTCCCGTCCTTTCACGGATGCTGAGACCCGGCAAGGGCTCAACTGATATGTCTGGAAAAGCCAAACCAGATAACCCGCACTGGACAGCAGAATGCCAAGTGCCTTTGACTAGATAAAAAAGTCTTCTGCCTATTGATCCACCACAGTGAGTCAAGAATTTTCTGCAAGCTGAGTGAATGTCCTGGCATTCAAAGGAGCAGACACATTGTCCTCACTCCAAAGGGTGAAAGGGTGCACTCCCAAGGGCAGGAGTCAGTCTGCCTCTCTCGCACGTAACCAGACTCTCTTTAACATTACAAAAAAAGCACAAGATGTACACAGTAAAGTATTACCAAAAAGTTCCAATATGAATATGGCATAGCATTTCCCATCATCAGTCAGGACCTTTATGCCTCAAAGAACAACCGAAGCTTCCATTTTTTCAATGCTTTTCTATTTTTTTCCTTCATTTAAACAAAGTCAGGTACAAGTCAAGCTGTAGGAGGCCTTTGCTTCAGTTAGAGTGATCCTCTGTACAACACGATAGCCCCCAGTGCTGGTTCTTGTTTTCCTCATCTGACAGGATATCCTTAGTCTAATTATGCTTGTAAAGGAACATAATACTATATGCAATAACTCTTAAGTGGGACATGATACTGTCACTATAATCCTAGAACTGACAAGGTAGCCCCTGTATGGAAAACTTTGTAGACAGGAAATCTACCAACAGATAAAGAATGCAGCTATTTAATAATTTCATAATTTTCTTTTCTGAACTGATGATACTTCATTAGATAGTAAGCGAGAAAGAGTGGTGCACAAGGAAACGCCAAAGAATCAGAACACCAGTGAAAAGCAGCTTTGTAAAAAACACCTTCTTATGACGAGGTAGAGACAGCTAGAGATATTTAGAAATGGAAGACTGAGGAAATACTTACAGTCTTGAAAAAGTGTGACTTGAGAATAATGATGAGATATGCATTACCCATACTACATACCATCTCTCCTCACATTCAAGTGAACAGCTGGTAAAGTTAGGCTTTAATTCCTTGTTCTGTGCAATCTGCATTTCTGTTACTTTACCAGGCAAATCTCTGTTTACTTGCCAAGTCATCAAAAGCTTAGGAAAGCTAGACCATATGAATTTTTCTGCATAGTCTTACAAGAAATCCACCTAATTTGTGTAAGAGCTTTTAAAGAAACCACCCGAAGAAGTACGACAGAATCTGCATAGTGAGCTTTGCTGAAGTAAATTTGTATTTCCCTAGGACAATTATTCTGTTACAAGCTACTTCCTCTACACAGGTTTATCTATGCCTTTACACTTTCCTCAGGTAAAATTCTCATTGACTTCACTGTGAGTTTCTCTCCAGAACTGAATATTTCAAGATTGTGTAAATCCCAAACCAGAGTGGATTTCTTTTTCACAATTTCCTCAACCAAAAATTGACACTGAATTTGATGAAAAATTGAGTAGCACAGTATTTCAACACAAGATAGAAAGTCCTATTCATTTTCAGAGAAAAAGTAGCCATGTTCAACTTTTTTTTTAAATTACCAATGAAAAATGGCATTTGCAACCAAAGGAAACTTTGCTGAGGTCAAAGGAAATGTCTGAATTTATTCCATGTGAGAAGGATGTTGCTGTTTTACTAAAGGTAGAGTTTTCCACTGCATATACATCCTTGAAAACTGTCAGCGCTCTTGCCAAGATGAGAGATATTAACTTATCATACAGTAAACAGGATTGATGCATTTAGAAAATGAAACATTTCAAATACCCTTTTTCAAATTCTTCCATTGGCAATTTAAAATTTTAGCAAATCAATAAAAATACCCTATAAATCTGAACATTAAATGGACTTTTCAACTCCATTAGTTTATTGCACCTGTGCAAAGTCAGTGCTAACTAATAATCAGAATAATAGGATTTTTACAGCTTCTTTCTCTACCCTAAAGGGCTGCAGCGGGTGCTGAGAAAAAAACAGGCTGGGGAAGTGTGATGCTAATAATTCAAATGATCTACAGGCTCCGTTGATTTCAACAACCTTAGCCAATTTAGACTAGCTAGCAATCTAACACCTCCTGATTAACTTGCTGTTGTGATGACCTGCTCTTGAAAGAAAGAACAATAGATCTGCATTACCTGCTCCATTTATACACCAGAGCCATAGGGAGAGGCAATAAGTCAGAAGGGTTGGAACAACTCCTTAGACTCCAAATGTTACAGGGATGGCCAACAAAAATGCTCATTAAAGCCTAAATTGGCCAAGCTGCTTTACAGGCTGACTCAGTGTCCACGTCCTGAAAGCTTTAGAAAGGAAAGGTTACCTCCAGAGTTTAGAGTGCAGGTTACCTGATGCTTTTGCGGATCAGCAGTGCTGTGGGAAAGCACAGCACCTGGAACGTGCCCATCGCCAGGAGGTTCCCCTGCCCCGGTGCCAGGGGAAACGTGGGAGGTGGCCAGCAGCTGAGCGCTGATGGGACCGTAGCCATTGGAAGGCCGATGAACATTGTTCGAGGCAGCGGCTACTTCATCTTCATCACCGGAGTCCGTAATCAGGATAAACTCAGCCTTAAAAAGGTCATTCTCCTGCATTTCTGCGTTGCTTGAGTTACACCCCAGGGACCGGAAAGCTGCTTGGGTGTTGTCTGTATGGACGGCGGACTCACAGCCTTGTCTGGCCCCGCTCTTTAAGGCCAGCTCATCAGAGACTGCGTCAGGCTGCAAAAGGTACAAGGAAAAAGATCCCAATCAGCTGCATTTTATTTGCATTCTCCAAAACGCAAAGTAGCTTGTGCTTGTAGCAGTGGCTGGCACTGCAGTACCAAAAGTGCAGAGGGCAAATGAAGAATTTGGGTACGAGCACCCAGCAGAAACCAGCTCCCTGGGAAGCCCCCCACTTCCAGCGTCCCAGCCTATGCTACGGGGGCTGCCTTCCCGGCGACTCGCAGAGCAACAGGGGATTCTGAGCACAACGACGGCCTGAGCCAGGGCTGGCGCGGGAACCGAAAAGGAGAGTGCAGTCAAGCCAGATGAGCTGTCAGACCAGACTACACCAGACACGATGGGAAGGCATCCCGATGGCAGGATCCACGGGAGCAGACAATGCTCCTTAGAGGAGCCTGACAGACAAATCTGGGACAAAGCCTATACATATTAATGAAGAAACAAAGGCCTTTATGCCAGGGCAATCTCTGAAGAGAGCAGACAAAGAATCTGAGGTCAGAGAGCTTTACTGTATCTTCAAGCTTCTCAGCACAGACCACAATAGTTCTTCGTATTTTCTGCAGTTTCCACTTCCAGTATGTAACTCCTCCAGTACGCTTTGGATGAGAGCAGGAGTAGTCCAAGCTGGGCATAAGACACATACATCACCAAATCATTCAATATCAAAACAGCTATGGTAAATGATATTTCTCCTGAAGGAGAAATCAGGTAAAAGAACAGAAATCCTGTGTACTGCAAGAGAAAGTCTGTAGATGAGGCTCATATTTGAATCCTGCCTGAGGAATACAGGAATGACAATGGCGGTTTCACAAGTTGCCGGAGCTCAGCTATTTAAAAAAATATTGAACCGAAAAGGGGGATATCACCAGTATGATAATACTTGGAGGTGTAATTTTCATTATCTGATGTTGCTTGGGGTTTTTTAAATATCGTTCAGGTTCTAGACATTTTAGAAAAGGGAGTAATCAATGCTATGAAAGCCTCAGTACTGCATCACTGGCCAGGAAAGTTTTCTCTGCCTACAGAGAAACGTAGGGAGGAAGAGGTCAGGAATAGCTGATTCTGCTTTACTTGGGGCACTACTTACAGCAAAACCAACAGTGAGTGACTAGAAATGTAACTCATGAGTTAAGCATCCTGAAGATAATGTTCCAGTGCATATCTCTGAAGAGATGTCCATTCTCTGCCCAGACTAACCCCTTTTTTAGTCAGATAGGCCACTGAAACTGCTGGAGCATGTTCAGGTCAGAGGACTGTGAACTCCTGTGAAAAGTTTTTTAGCTCCGCGAACTGCAGCCCTGGTAATGTCCCAAGGAAGGAGCTGTTACACAAGTGCAGAACCACCATGAGCATTAATATTAATCTGAGGGTTCCAAGTTTGCTCTCAAGCAGCACGGAATAAAATAAGAGGTTGTTAAGTGTTGTGAGGCAGGAAAGGAATAACAAACAGTATGGGCTGGCTAAAGGCAGGAGAAGCAGGTATGTTTTGCTGCTGGCTTCACCACCACGGGAAATCGCGGGGACTAGCTTTCAAAAACAGAAAGCAAGCTTTCACTTTGATGCGTTACTACGTAGCTATGAAAGCATTTGGCACCTTTGATGGAAGCCGAAGCGCTGGCATTTGTGGACACCAGAATCCAGTCACCAACTCTTGGTCAGTTCCCATGTGATAACACACCTCACACAGCACCCTTTCTCCCCCGAAGATCAGGAAGGAATCCCCCCTCATCTGCCAAGAATATATCCCTTGCATGAGTGACAGAGGACAGTATTGAGGTGGGCAAGGGTTTCCTTCCAGTATAAACTCTGCCAAAGACCAAAGGGGCTGTTGAGCAGATAGCAGCCTTCTCTTGTGCAACAATTCTGCATCTCTTGTAGGCTTGGGTATTAAAAAGAAGCACAAGCCAAGAAAGAGTTCAAGGGAAAGACTTTCAGTTCAGTGATGTTTAGCAAAGCTGACAAAATTTTCTGTATCTTCTGAAAGGGTAGAAAAATTAGCACAAAAAAAAATCTACCTTATTTGTAGTTTCTTGATTGCTCAGATCCTTTGGCTCATCTGGAATTGTGACAAGGAACTTAGAGACATCTACAACCTCAAAATGAGTTGGAAGTCTTCCAATGGATGGCACGAATGTGAAGGTCAATGGTTTGGTTTCAGATTCTTGAAAAATGACCTACAAAAAACACAATTAGTTCAACTTCTTTGTCCAAATAAAAATTATTGTTGTTAGAGTTGAAATAACATTAATTGCTTCATCTACATTACTTATGAGTCTATTATTAACCATACTGGTCTTTTTTTTTTTTTAACAGGTCATTGTATATTAAGCTCTTCTTTAACAGACCGAATACTGCCTTGATTATACCCATCATCATCCTATGTATTCTAATGGTGTTGCACAGCAGAGAGGAGAAAATTTGTTCAATAATTTGCTATTCTTTTCATTTTCCATACCAGAAACAGAAAACCATATTCATTTCATTTCAAGGCTGCTTTTCTCTTTGCTTAACTCCACTTTAGTAGAACAACAATGTGATTATGCCACTGTATCTGGACATAATATAGACCCTAGAGTATTTGCTTAAAAACTCAGAACAAATTGGAAGAACCTTTGCTCTGCAAAAAGAAAGCAAAACATGTTTACATTTTCTAATGCAAATGCAGCCAATTCTGAACAGCATCTTGGATGAATTCTGATCCAAGGAAAGGATTTTCTCCCATTTTCTTTGGACCATTCAGCCACACACACCAACTAATTCTGTATCTGTCTTCTCATTTCTCCCTCCCCAGTTGCATTCACTCTAGGACCATGCACGTAAGGCTTGAATGCACTGAAGCGAGACTAGGAGAAGGCAATTTCACCTAAACATTCAATTTTATGACTGTGCTCTCCCATCACTTCCATCTTCTTCACAGGAGACACTGGACAGGAAAAAGAAGTCCAAACTATGGCAAAACTCTCTGTTGCTTTGCCAGACATCAGGGAGAGGAACTGCAAAGGCCTTAGCAAGTTAAGTAGAGGGAACCACATCCCAAACCACTGAACCCGAAATGCTGACTTTCCCACTACTTGTTGGTGTAGAAAATCCTTCTTTCTGATTCAAAACTATGGAATGTATAGATTTTCCCTTGTTTTATGATCTGATTTAAAGCTTATTGCAGTTAATTGTGTTTTCAATGAATTCTAATATGCAGAACCCTGAACTGTATTGAATCCTAGAGAAAAAAAGGACCATTGCTTTGACCCTTGTTTTTGGCTTACTTGTTTAAAGTGAAACAAATTGGAGAGCTGTGGCTCTCATTATGCTTCTTTGTAATTTGGGTTCATAAGTAAATAGCAATTACGGAACAGAATGGGATTATGGAATACATTCACATGACTCGGTCTTCTCGTGGCTGGAACATTAAAAACAATAGACACAGATTACCAATTTTTATAACGTATAAGAAAATCTCAGTTACTTCCACCTACAGCTGTCTCCTGGAGAGCTTGAGCAAAACAGAGGCAGGTTGTTTATACAAACACAGCCAACTGCTCTTTTCTCTGTAATTTAGGAGAATTCTGCTCTGTCAGAGACACCCAGAATAAATTTTCATGTGTCCACCTTTAATTCTGAAAAAGTAAGGTGTTTTGATGTTTGAAAGTGAAAAATCTGAATAAATGGCAGACATCTCCGTTCTGAAATCAGACCTTTTTATTCACAAACTCACATGAGCAGATTACATTGCACTGCAGGCTTGCTACCTAGAGGTAACAAGGGTGCAGGGACAAGGTGGTCCCCTACTTTCCCACCTCCACTTCACACAAGTGGTCAAGCACCAGAGCACACTATGCATGGGCTGAATCAGTAGCAAAAGGGTGGCTGCTAACCGCTCCACCACACTGGGAGCTCTGGATGTTGTTTTGTGTGAGGGAGAAACAGCATAGCTCTGTCCTTCTCTCAGTAGCCAAGATACCTGAGTCTGATCATTGTTTTTCGTAAAGCAGCAACACATTTTAAGATATTAATAGCTGGCACATTAACACTTAGTTCTTGCTCCTGACACAAGTCAGCAGAGTAACATCACTACTCAAGGATGTACTCGCTGTGAGCAGACATCAGTCCCTACAATGCAGCCAGGGCCACAGCCTCCACCTGAGCACTTGCTGAACCCAAAGGTGCTCCTCAAGAAACAAAATTACCTGCACAAAGGCAGAAGTACCCATCACATTGGCATTAGTGATTTCTGTACAACTGACACTGCCCGTTACAGTCTTACACAGCACCTGGGTCTCCACTGAAATCAGGTGGAGATGGCCTTTGCTTTCCTGCAGGTCTGTGGCTGTGCCTTCTTCTTCTCTTTCTAACTAGGAAATGTGGTTAGTGACTCTGGCTACCTTGGTCATCTCTCCCCCTCTACCTCACGCTTTTGTCATGCTCTTGTTCGACATTTGACACCAGCTGGTTTGTATCAGTGAATATTCTTGTGTCAGAGCATAAAATATTCCTTACAAAAGAAATGGGAAGAGAGAAAGAAATAGTGTGCAAACAGTAGGCCCCCACACAAGCAGATTAACAGAAAATTCCAATCAAATGTGCTAGCATTGCTAAACTCTCAATACTTTATCTGTGTATTTGTAATGAGGAAATACAAACAAAAAGGCAAGTTATGAGGCTCCAGATCATTGCATAGTATTGGGGAGAGCTTGTCAGCACCTGCTTGTGCACTGCGTCTTACCCCGTGCTTCCAATTTTATTGCTTTGGTAGAAAAATAAAAGAATACATGACGAAAAGCTTGCTGTATTTGGCCTAAATACATTGTGGAAATCTCCATCAAAATTGCTTGCAAGCTAAAACTAAGGCTGGAAAAGGCACATAAAGATGTGCAAGCAAGAATAATTTTTCAGGTGGAAGATGCCATTAAAGCATGGTCTTACTTGTATTCCCCTAGTGTATTTAATTTTTCCTGGAGTTTATAAAGTAGAAACCAGAAAACAGAATTACTGAATTTCAGAAAGCTTTAAATTGTCAGATACTGTATGAGGCAGTGTGGAGAGATGCCTTCCACTCAGGTTCACTCATAGCGAGTGGGAAACAGCAACTTCTAGCGGGTAAAACCAGTCGTGCAATATAGGCTGCATCACAGAAACCTAGAGAGTGAGCAAATATCGTAAGAGTGGTCAGAAAACCCAAATGTTTCTACTGGGGAAAACAAAAGAGAAAAAAACCCTATTTACAAACATCTTTTAGGAGGCTGTTTTCATTTTACAGATTTCAAAAACAAGTAAATATACTTTGATGTTTTAAAATTTAATTTTTAATTGGAAAATGTGAAGCAGAAGGAACCATTACATATGGTCCATATGCTCATCTCATTTACTATATCTCTCTGGATGGTGTTTCTCTCATAAAGAAGAACTGAAAGAAATGAATAGGGTGGGATTTCAGCATTTAATTACATCTGTTAAAAACCACTCTGGCACACAGAGGTAAATAACAGTGAGATAACCTTAAAATTCAAATATCTATAAATATGTATGTGAAACTTTCTTGCAGATTATCATCCTTTCTCTAGGCCCAATAGTAACAGCAGAAGGAATTCAATTCCATACATTCCCTGCTGCTGTAATCAACAGAGTTACCGTAGAAGAAAAATACCATATGTGACATTTATTCAAGTTAATATTAATGAATTGTGGTTTATATTATACAATCAACTTTTTGCACAATGAAATAATTGATTGTTTTTAATTGCATCCTTTCATGTTACTTCATTCTTTGAGGAGTACAACTGATAGGGTTTAATATAAATAACCTTTGACTATCCACTGGGGCCATAGGCTGCTGCATAATACATTGCCAAATTTCTTCAAAAGGAGAAAATTATTCTAGATGACTTCCATGACTTCCTATGTCATCAATTTACAAACAGGTTTGTTTCATATTTAATACCATCAATTTACAACTGCCTTGGGGATAGTAACTTAATATTGTTTTCATTACCACAGCTTCTACAGTCCTTACTTGTCGAGCACATTTTTATTGTCTCGGTTACCTTATGAAGACAAATGAACACTTCTGTTTAATCTCTTGCATGCTGTATATGCATTCAGCATACTGCCTATTTTGTAATTTAAATTGAGGTACCATTGTCAGTGATTGTTTCCCAGGATTTCCTTCTGGAATACAGATTGCTAAAGTGAAATTTAATATGCTGGTTCACATTACTACTTCTTCCACTGATTTGCTAATGTAAGTCATTTCATTAATAAAACGACACCCTGAGAAAACCTCATTCTTGAAATGTCAAGTACTTCCTTTTGAGGCTGTGTATTGACTTGTTTAAAGGACAGAAAAGGAAATATATGCATAAATAACAGCAAAATAACAAGTGTGTCATCATACTATAGAAACACGCTGCCTGATGCACAGTTCTGGTCATAGCTCAGATTCACATACCACAATTCCTCCGTGATAAATATAGCTCTAACACACAGAGCGAGAGCACAGCCACAGCCGCTCGCACAGCCAGGGAGAGGGGCCATCCGAAAACACAGCCTGGGTTGTGTAACATTTCCTTAAACTCTTTCCTGTATTCAGACTAAACTCAAACCACAGAGGAGACATTGTCTCCTCCTGGAGACAGAGAACAAGGCTAGTCTACTACGGATGAAATGATCAGCTAATGAGATGTAGGAATCTTCAGTACATCTTCATATCCTGACTCATTGTAGCTATCACAGTAACCTAATATGTATTAACTGATTATTGTGTAATATGAGCTCTGGCTTATCAATAAACCTTTTTACAAACAGCAGCAGATGATCATCTGAACACCAGCTTTATAGCTGTGAAACTTCAGGGGAAAAGCTAAATCCACTCCAAAAGTCCTGGATGAAATTACAGTCCAGCTGAAGCTTGTGCCAAAATTCCCACCGACAGCTGTGGTCCAGGAACTTCCCAAGCCCTGTGAGGTGCCCATTGTATCACCTTTAGCAAATTACTTTTGCTTCTTTCAATACAGTAGCACACACTAAAACACACACGCAGACAAATATCTTTTGAAAATTAACGTGTGTAAAGCACCAGAAAGAGCAAATGAGTAACAGTATAAAATTGTAATCTATTATTCAAAATGCAAGAGCTCATTAAGCTGAAGTGTTTCTTTTCAACAATAATTTTAATTAGCTC